CCCTACTTAATAAAACTTTAGCCCAAATAAGTAGAGCTAAGGTTTTTATAAAGCTTAATATCCGCTAGGCCTTTTACTAAATTAAGATAGACCCTAGGTTTAAGAATCTTATTACATTTCGGACCTGTTACGGAATGTATAAATATAAGGTACTTTCTTTTAGACTAACTAATGGACCAGCTACGTACTAGCGGTACATAAATAATATACTCTTTAACTACCTTAACAACTTCTATACGGCCTATTTAGATAATATTATAATCTACTCTAAGAACGAGCTAGAATATAAGGAGCATCTCTATAAAGTCCTATAACGACTCCGCGAGGCTAGACTCTAGGTTAATATTAAAAAGTTAGAGTTCAGTATTAAGCGTACAAAGTACCTAGGTTTTATTATTAATATGGACGGAATTAAAGCCGACCTAAAGAAAACGGCCGCAATTAACTAGTAGGCACCCCTACGGACCGTAAAGGGGGTATAATTATTTTTAGGTTTTTGTAACTTCTACCGACGCTTTATTAAAAACTATAGCAGAATTGCCTGGCCTTTTAACTATCTTACTAGAAAAAACCAGCCTTTCTACTTTAACGCCATATATAGACAGGCCTTTAATAAGCTTAAAAAACGGCTAGTATTGGCTCCCCTACTTGCCTATTTTAACCTAAAGCGGCCCTTAATGCTAAAAACTAATACTTTAGACGGCGTAATAGCTGGTATTTTTTCCCAGAAGCAACTAGACGGAGAATGGCACCCTATTATATACTATTTGAAGACTATAATAGATATTAAGCTAAACTACCACATCCATAATAAAGAAATGCTAGCTATTATCTCTAGCTTTTAGCACTAGCGTATATAGCTAGAGGGTACCCCTAAGCCAATTAAGGTAGTTTTAAATTATAAAGCCTTAGAATACTTTATAATAACTAAGGCTCTTATAGCCCAGCAGGCATACTAGGCGGATATCCTATCTTAATTTAACTTCTTAATTATATATAGACCGGGCGCTACAAACCGTACGGACGCTCTTATAAGGCGTAAATAAGACCTAGATAACCAGACGGCTATAAAGATCTTATTACGGACCCAGACGCTACTATAACTAAAACACCTTGACCCTAAATATAGGCAGAACTAACTATGGACTCCTTAGGCGCCAAAATATATCCTATTAACTTCTCTAAACGTAATCTTATTAAGAAACCACTATAGGCTAACCAAACAACCCCCTCTCTATAGGAGTACTATAAAAAGGCAAAGAACGTTGCCAGTATTATAGCACTAGCAGAACCTGGCAGAACTACGCACCGGCAAGTTGCTACAGATTGCCGCATATTGCGGTCACGTGACGCGAAGATCGTATATAGCTTTAAGCGGCGCTCCCCTTCTTCTCCTTTCCTTTCTTTAGCTTTAGATTCTCGTTTATAGACAATCTAATCGTACAGGCTTGCGCGACCCTTTTGCCGTGCTTATGTCTCGATTGACTGAGTTGCTAACAGCCAGCCTATGGTCTCTTAAAAACGGACTACTTAAGTACTAGGAACGGCTAGTAGTAGCTAAGGAACAGAACTTACGGACCAGGGTGGCGGAAAATCCAATTGATCCGGTTCGATACGATACGCGAGATCGTATCGTATCGGATCGTATCGATTGATTTTTTCGATATACCCCACCAAAACAATACACCCACAATAGCCCCGCCAATATGGCTCTAAATTATATAAATAGTGGTTTATTTTATAGCTCTACTTTAAAACTATAAAATAAGCCCTTATTTATATAATTTAGAGCTATTTTAGTAAGGTTAATGTAAGGTATTAGTTCATATACGCGACTGGCTTGTGTATAGTTTTCTTTACTAAAATACATTAAAATACACCCTCTTCTACTACCTATAACTCTATAACCTTTTAAAAATTAAAATATAACTAATTTAATATTAAAAATATAATTTTATATAAAAATATTATAATATTTATAATATATATAACGTGGTTTATAAGCGAGCTGGCAATACAAGCGAGCTGACAATCTCAAAACTCACCAAAAATTGGAAAAATCGCACTTTAATATCTCGANAACCACTTAATAATAAATTCTAATAATTTGGATTTAGGCTTTTATATATGCTTTATAGCTCCTATTAAAGTTATATAGTAAATAGTTCTATAGTTTTTAATATATAGTAAGATATAGTATTTTAGCCTTATTTTAGCCCCCAAATTTTAATATCTTAAAAACTATANAACTATTTACTATATAACTTTAATAGGAGCTATAAAGCATATATAAAAGCCTAAATCCAAATTATTAGAATTTATTATTAAGTGGTTGTCGAGATATTAAAGTGCGATTTTTCCAATTTTTGGTGAGTTTTGAGATTGTCAGCTCGCTTGTATTGCCAGCTCGCTTGTAAACCACGTTACACTTAATATCAAGTTAAAAAAAAGTAACTTTTTAATAAAACTTAAAATTATTAATAATATTAATAATAAAGTTATTTATATGGAGTTTTGCGTAGAGCTTTATATAGGGCTTTATATAAGGCTCTATATAAAGCTATATATAGATCTATATATAAAGCCACCTATTAAAATATAGAAGAAAAAAGGATAATATAACTTTATTTACTAGGTTCAAATTAGTTATTCTAGTTATTAATATCAGTTTTAAAAATTATAATTATTAAAAGAATATAATTTAAGGTAGGTATACTTTAGTTATTTTACACTATATATATTATATAAAAACTATATGTAACGTATTCCGCCCCCACGTCGCCATACGGCCAAAAAGACACGAGTGCTTGCGAACTTGTCGCAAGCGCGGCGGGATCTAATATATATACTCTAACACTATATTATATTTTAAAGGTTTTAATAAAGGGTTTTTAAATATAGCTTAATATTATAAATAAACTTTAATATAAAATCTAAATATAAAATAATATTTAGTAGTAAAAAGATTAAATTAATACAAAAGCTTAATTTAAAATCTATAACTATTATAAAAATAAAAATATTTATAAATAGGGCCTTATTTTATAGCCCTTTACTAAAGCTATATTAGTAAGACTATAGGGGGTATTATAGAGTACTAGTTTTTAGAGTAGAGTAGTTTAAATAAGTTAACGTAGAGCCTTAATTTAAAATTTAATAACTTAAATAAAATACTCCTTATAGCCCTACTAATATAGCTCTAAAATAAAGCTATAAAATTAGTTACTATTTATATAAATTAGAGCTATATTGGTAAAGTTATAGGGGTTATATTATTTTAACGGAGTGGGAGATGCGCGACGTTCGGCTCTAGGCGAGTTACCAATATTTTGCGACCGAAGGTAAGCAACCCCCCCTATAACTCTACCAAAATAGCCTAAAATTATATAAATATGGGCTTATTTTATATCCCTAAAATAAAGCTATAAAATATACCTCTATTTATAAAATATAAACTCATATTGGTGGAGCTATAGGGGGAATACCAAGAAAATATCATGATACTTTGATACGATACGAGGTATCGTATCGATCGTGGATCGTCGATCCGTATCGCGGAAAATTGGATTTTCCGCAACCCTGTTACGGACCTAGCTTATTGCTAAAGCTTATGCCCAGATCTCTACGGCCTACCCTAGAAAAAATAAAACCTATAAGATTATTAGTGACCGCTACTACTGGCCTGGAATAGTTATAGATATTAACCGTTATATATGGAACTGCGACAGCTGCTGTGGATTTACAATCCTACGAGATAAGACCCTAGGACTATTAAAACCACTCCTAATACTAAAACGCCCCTAGCAGTATATCTCTATAAACTTCCACGAGCTACCTATAGACCGCAACGAATACGATATAGCTATAGTTCTAATTAACTGCTTTAGTAAGCGCCTGTTCTTAATCCCATATTATAAGAATATTAATACTAAAGAAGCGGCCTAACTATATATCTACTACGTCTACTAAATCTACGGACTACTAGATACTATTATATCTAATTACAGGCTATAATTTATATTAGCTTTCTAGAATAAGTTCACCTAGATCTTAGGCATTAAGCTAAAGCTTTCTATAGCATACTACCCCTAAATAGATAGTTAGACAGAAATTATAAATCAATACTTAGATTAAAGACTTCGGCCCTTTATTAACTACTTCTAAAATAATTAGGCTAAACTGCTACCCCTAATAGATTATACCTAAGCAACCTTACCCCACAACTCTATAGGATTTGCCCCTATTTAACTAGAAATAAGCTACTTACCCCATATAAGCTTTAACTGGGAAAAACTAGAAGGACCCTAGACTGTATACGAAAAACTATCTTATAAGAAAGCATGGCAGTACGTTAAGCGCTTAGAAGAAACCTAGATAGTAGCCTGTACAAATCTAAAAAAGGCCTAAAAATTAATGTAACAGCAGGCGAATAAGTATAGGTAAGAGCCTAACTTTACCGTAGGAGATATAGTCTGGGTTATAACAAAGAACTAGAAGACGGAACGACCTAGCCGTAAGCTAGACTATTAGATAGCAGGACCGTATAAGGTTCTTAAAAAAATAGGTAACTTGTACAAAGTAAAGCTCCTATATTTAATTAAGGTTCACCCTATTTTCTTTTTAGATAAACTATGGAAAGCCGCAAATAACTTATTACCTAGATAAAAGAATTAACCTCCCCTGCTAATCTAAGTTAATGGCAACAATAAATAGGAAATTAAAGAAATACTAGCCTACAAGCTTATAAGGGAAACGTTAAAATATCATGTTAGTTGGAAAGGGTACAATCCAAACCCCACTTAGTACTCTATATGGAACTTTATAGGTAGTCCCTATAAGCTTTAAGAGTTCTATAGCCGTTACTCTAACAAACACAGGCCTCCAAAGTACCTTAACGAGTGGATAGAGTGCTAGAATAGCGAAGAATGAATTCATTTATGAATAAATAAATGTATTTTATAAACGTTATTCTAATTTATTATTAAAATTTAATATTAATAAAGAGTATAGTTTAATGGTAAAATAGGAAGCTTNAAACTTCAAATTTCCAGTTCAAGTCTGGATGCTCTTGTCTTTAAAGATTTCTTAACTTAATAGGTAAAGTGTGCTTTTGATAAGAGTAACGATAAGCTACCTATTAAGCATAAAGATAAGAATACCCCACGGATATAAAACGGATATATACAGCCTAAGAGCAGGCTTTTTCGGAGGGGGGGGGGTAATATCACGGCGCTAGTGGAAACTGGTAGATATTGGTGGATTATAGCGGATAATTGCAGACAGTTTTAGACAGTTTTAAATGATTACCATTACGTGACCAGAGGATTATATATAACGTTAAGTGGCACCACCCTCCGTCTCCTTTCCTTTCTCTAGCTTTAGATCCTTGTTTATAGACTACCAATCGTATAGGCTTGCGCGTCCCTCTTGCCGTGCTTCGTGCCTTAATTAACTAAGTCGCTAATACCTAATATTATATTATATAGCTACCAACCTTCCTAGATTAGAGAATTAAGCAATTAAAGTATTACATTTTAATAAGACGCTTAAGAATAGTAGAGACTTTAGTATAACTATAAATACTAGGATAAGTATTTCGGAGTAGGCGTCTCTTTAAGCTCTGCGACGAGCGCGTGACAGCGTATTGGCTATCTTGTAGATATCTTCTCGGGCTATCAAGCCCCTCAGATTCTTGCTTATAGAGCATTATATATATCTTTTCCGCCAGCCTCGTCAGTGGTCTCACATTTACTACTAAATCGGTATTTTAGCGAATTTTGGTAACCCAGGGATGTTATGTATAACGTATTAGCCACCCCAACGAGCCAGCCAAGCGAGCCACCCAAAATTACACCAAAATCAGCTGTCTTTATATATTAATAACTCCACCACCACTTAATAAATAATTATAAAATTAAGTATTTAAGTATTTAAGTTAATGGGTTATAAGTTTTTAATATTTAAAACTTAATTATTTAACTTTTAGTTTAAAATATCTATTAATCTTTATTTTTTTAATTTTTTTTAATAGCAAAAGTATAACTTTAAAAGAAATAATAATAATTATATTTAAAAAGTTTATTATATTAGTAGTATAGGTATATAAGTATTTACTTTTACAATCCCATAATTATTTATTAAGTGGTGGTGGAGTTATTAATATATAAAGACAGCCGATTTTGGTGTAATTTTCGCTTGGCTGGCTCGTTGGGATGGCTAACACGTTACGTGCGAGTGGCTCGCTTATTTTCGCAAAGGTAGCAAGTCGAGGAACAAATCAACTCAATACATAGACTTACAGCCTGTTGCACGACCAGCTTCCCCCCCCTTGAAAAAAAAAAAGTATATTTCGCTTCGGTACGTAGGTTCGCCAAATCGCTGTAGCGAAGTCGTATGCTTGGCTGCAAGAACTTTGCTTCTGGCGGACTTGCGACCGGCCTTCCTCTGTGGTGTCGTGATCTTTGTCAAATATCGTGGGGTTTCCACCCGTACGATATTGCCAAATTCCATCGACCTCTCCGCAGAGACAGCGTTGTACTCGCGTTTTGGCGGCCACAACGGGAGGGGAGTCGAGGGGGAGAGGAAGAAGCGTACGTCTTTAATTTGGTTCTCCTGGCCAACCGGGCGATTCTCTATGGCAACCAAAAAGGTCCTTGCGTGTAGCCACAGCCGTTCGCTACAATTACTATATACAGTTGGTGGCAGTCAGGCGAGATTGGATGCGCGTACCGAATTTGAAATTTTCGCAGCGCTCGCTAAAGGGGGGGGGGAAGCTGGTCGTGCAACAGGCTGTAAGAGCAAACGCATTTTATCTCATTTCAAGAACCACTTTCACACTAGTCACAACTCCGGGTACTAAAATCTCTCTTCTCTACGATTGGCCCGCTAGTGTTATGAGAATGACGAGATCCCTTGCCCTTTACTAAGGTTGCCTGGACCTCGCCTTATCCCTTCGCCCGTTGCGTTATATCCAACGTTATCGATAAGAATCTAGCCAATTAGAGCTTTTATGTGCAGCTGCCATCACGGTAATGGCGTCTGTGCGGCCTTGGCGTTGGACGCCGACGGGCGAAGGGATAAGAACCCCTGCTTCCCATCGGTATTATTCCTTCGAAAAAGGTACACGGTGATAAGTGTGGAAATACATACGGTTCGCACTTGGAATCTCTAGCTAGACCGCTTGGTAATAGTATTAGTGCGTGATCTAATTATTGGGTCTACCTAAGCTTCTTAAGCTCTTAGCCACCCTATCAACTTAGCTGGGATTGTTGCACCATGCTGTCATTGAATAAATACTCCAGCACACGTAGCTCGGCCCGAATGTACATCCTAGCTTGCCATGCGGATGACTCTTAACTGAAAGTTACCAATTTTGATTGAGGTCTGCGTTTATACATAATTAGCGCTACCTGAGTCCAAAAAAGTACATGGTAACATGAAATAACAGTTCGCCGTTACACCACAATAATCCTATCCTTATCTTGATATATACTACTAAGTTAGTCTCTACTGCACGTGAAATCTTCCTGCTTTATCTCTACTGGTATCACTTCTAAACACCTCTTAAAACGTTCCTTTTAATTGATGTCGTCTATACACAGAATACTCGAACTCAAAAATAGCAAGCTAAAAATAAACGCGTAAAGACGTCGCAGTAGTCCCTACATAGTCCATATCGTTCACTCACCAATTTCCACCCAATCACAAAGCATACCTAAAAGCATCTAGGAACCCTCCAACCTCTCCCGCTCAACTTTCATTTACACGATAAACCACCTTCTTCCCACTCACCCTCCCATGCCTCAAATCGTCCATCCCTCCCAACACCCCCTCTAACCCACCTTCCCTTACCTCGGGCCTATGCACCTTAAACCTCTTTTCGGCCAACAACCCTTCCGCCAACTTAAAAAACCTAGTCGCAAACTCCAGATCCTGCGGCCTAGCTTCCCAAACCGTGCTCCCAAGGGTGAAATACTCGCCGACAGCCGAGTAGCCGAGGGTGTGGCCTCTCTCAACATCATCGCGAGGCGACAGCGCGGGCAAGATGACGCCGTAGAAGGGCCTCTTGCCCGAAGGCGCGGGATGTGAGGCCAGCGCGTCAGCACAGATCTGGGGCGAGGCCGCCTCCGAGACGGTGTCGAAGGCGTAGTAGAGCTCGTTGCGGGTGTGGGCGCGGATATCAGCGCCGCAGGTGGGCGAGGCGTAGTCGAAGACGGCGGAGGCGCCGAGCGCCTTCACCATGGGGAAGTTGCGCGGGGAGCAGGTCGTAGTGACGTCGAAGCCAGATCTTTAAGAGACGCTGTTAGCGGGGGCTATTTTAACCACGCGGTCACTGGGGTAGAGGCGCTGAGAGAAGAGGAGTGAGGGCGAAAAAGGCCCACAGAGCAACCAAACCTACAGCTTCGCGAACTGGATCGCATAAGCCCCCGTCGCCGTACTCCCGCCATATATCAGAATCGGCCCATTCTTCTCGACCGTCTCCTTCCCCACCGCCGGCCACGGTAATCCCATACTCTAATACATGCCTTGCCCCACCGTCACGATCCCAACCCCGAGCGCGCTAGCATCCTCAAAGCTCATGTTATCCGGAATCTTCATCACCAGCCCGGCTTTCGCAACCAGCCACTCCCCAAATACCCCATCCTCCAGCTCAACCGCGTTGGCACCGTGCACGAAGCCAGCAACGCGGTCACCCTTCTTCAAGCCCAGCTCGGTCGGCACGGCGCCGCCGACGGCTTCAATCACGCCCGAGTAGTCGCATCCGACAGTGGCATGGGGTGTTGCGAGCCGGTCTACGTGCTTCCAGTCGGTGGGGTTCAGCGCAACGGCTTTGGTCTTGATCAGGACGTAGTCGGGGCGCAATTTGGGGATTGGCACTTCGACCACGGCGGCTTGGCCCGGAGAGAGGATCTTGACGGCTTTCATAGCGGTAGGGCTTGGGAATTGGGTAGTGGTTAATAGAAGTTGGGGAAGTAGTGGGATGGAGAGAGCTAGCGATGCCGAGTTTTGACTGTGAGATGGATGCACCGGATTGCGGAGAGCAGGTTTTCTGTCAGTCCGAGGTCAATTAGAGGAGAAATTGATGCGTTATAATTGGAAGTACGTGTATGCGGACGTAAGAATGGCGGAGTTAAGGCGTCCGAGAGATATGTAATGGGCAAGGCAGTGAGCTGTATTAATAATGCAAGCAGGGGAAAGAGAGGACTCGTATCGAAATCCGGCCTCGTCACTTTTTCAAAACCTGCCCAGCAAGAAGCAGATGGGAATAGGGTATTATTGACTGTACAACTCGCTTAAGAAATATGCAGCCGTATTAGGGAAAGGCTGATGTATAGGCTTTCCCTCACTTATTGACGGAGCTGCAGAAGTTGTGAAGTTTGACCCAGAAACCGCAAACGAATGCATCGAGCCAACTGGATTGGCTGACGAATGTAGCGTCAAAAGAAATCTACTACGCAAATTGTGCCTCCCACCTCCAAAATCCTTACATCCGTAGTATCACCGTAAGGCCTGCTCACAACGCCGCGTCCATCCATCCCTCGCCCTAATAGTAGTTTGGAATCTAGACGGGGCAACTCTATAGAATTAATCGTCAGCAATGCTTTGATAAGAATGTAGCATTAAAAGGTAAATAAGCACTCACGGCACCACAAGAGCCGCAAGTCTTGCTGGCGCCATCAGTGCTAGCGCCACATTGTGGGCAGCTGGAGTCATGGTTGTCGATAGGGACTGAGATCGGGCCGGCCATAGTTGATTCTTTTGGTGTATACAAAGAAAGGTTACTCCTATTGATATTCGGTATTGTGCAGGAGAGCGAAGAAGTTGATGGTGTTAGGTTGAAGGCTACAATATTTGACAGGTAGAAAGGCCTGGTACTTAGATGAGGGATGGTGGGGCTGGCAGGCGGTGGCAGCTGACCCGGGACGAGCTTGGGTTGGGTAGGAATGCTGCTCGATTATTGGTTGATTGGTCCTATCGAATGCTGTGTATCATGCTAGGACGCTAACGCCTTGGAGAGCGGTGCTTTCTAGTGTGATGACGCTCACCGGAACAGATTAAAGTAAAGATCAA